GGCCTCCACGGACCCAACAGCGTGATCCAGTCCGATCCCGAACTGGACAGAAGCCATACCCATCTTTTAACATAAAACAATTTACAATATTTGGTCATAATTCTTGCACATAGTTAAGACGTCTGTATTGTATTTGATTTTTATTATTATAATTATAATTTATTAATTTTATTATAATATCATATATAAATAAAAAAATTATAATTTGAATTTTGACATAGTCATAACACATAAAGATTGATTGATGGTGAAACTTGGGTTTTAGCAGATGTATGGTTAGTAGGAGACGAATGTGCATACATGGGAGTTGTCTATGGGCCCCATCCATGTTGATTGTGGATTTGTTTTATTTGGACCCATTCATCCTTAACCTTTAAACCAAATGATAAACTTGTGGAGCCTAAGGCACATTGTCACTTACCTCAAAGTGTTCTTGTCACACCTAGCAATACGATTGAGTTTAACTGTGACAATATTTTACATTCATGTTTACCGGACTTTCGTATTAATTGACTATATTGTGAAGTAATATCGCTGTTATATTTAATATTAATTCTCAACTAAATCTCAAGGGATTAGTAAAAATTTGAGAATAAGATTCAAAGTCTCAAGTTCAAGTCACTCCAAAAATTTACTAGAAGTTTGTCCGGTCTTTAACTTTAAAGTTTTGAGATTAGTTGAAATGCATGCAAACTGGTTTGGATATTAGTTACAAAAATAAATGTATATAAAAAAATTAACTCTAAAAATTGTTACATAAGTCATTTTTCATAACAATATGAAATTTATTCAATCTTAATCTTTAACTCCGACACGTTAGATATTTTTACAAATTGATTTATTTTAGTACATAAATCTTAATAATGAAAGCAATCTATAACAATATTAAATTTATTTAATCTTAATCTTTAACTACGACACGTTAGATATTTTTCACAAACTGATTTATTTTATTACATAAATAAAACTTAATAATGAAAGCAATTCTATTTGAGAACTCCCACATACTCCTAATTGATAGAAATTTTATTGTGTGTACTTATAAGATCCCCTCATTTTAGAAAGTGAAAATGACAAATTTGACTAGTCAATGACAAACAACCATACAATAGTTTCGTGTGTGTGAACCACAAGAAATCAAGTGTGCACATGTCGTTTTGATTATCAATATGCTATACACCTATGGTTAATAAAATTTCAATATACAAAATTTCAGTCACTATTGATGAGTCATTAATTTTGATGGGCACGGACCAAGAGGGCCCAATTTGCAGTTATCTTAGATTGCCCAAATAGTCGCTTACGTTTCGTTTTGTAACTGTATTTTTTAATTAAAAAATTAAAAAGTCATTAAAAAAAATTAAAAAGTCAATAATTTATGTTAAAAAGTCAAAAATTTCTTTTTCTTTTTACTTTTTGCACATCCCAAACATATTAATTTTTTTTAAATCATGTTTTACTCAAAAAGCTAAAAAGTTATTAAAAAAGTCTATTTCCAAATGAGGCCTTAGTCAAAAAGCTCAGTAGGTGAAACTCAACAACAGGCTCAGTGGGGAACCCAATGCGACCTAGACCCAATTGCAGTTAAACATGTGTCAGGTTAGTCACGCGGCAGACAAAGATTCTACAAAGATGTTGAAACCCATACTTCAAGTATTAAATGTAACTGTTAAGGTATTAAATACAATAAGACCTCTTATTTTGAAGCATGGTGAAATGGCCACGGTCGACGGCAAGCAAGTGGCAGACTTTCGGCCAATGGGACAACATGAGTAGATAAAGGAGCTTCTGTGGAACGTTTTGAGAACAAGTGAGATTCTCTCTCTCTCTCTCATTACTCTCTTAATTTTCCCTGAGTTACTCTCATCATATCTTCATCTAACTTGATCGTCGGAGGGTCCACAGGAAGGAACCATTCCTATTTCGGAACCTTCCTACTAGACTTGTTGCAGGTCTAACTAGGATGGCGAAGGTCAATTATCTCGTAGAGCGCTTGGATCAATCCGACCCATCTTTGACCGATCAAACTATATTATCAAATTTATTAGTACAACATATGAATGATGACACTTAATAAATTAATACTATGAAATCACATTAAATATATTTAAAAATTAATTATTATAATATTATTGTTTAATTAAACTTATTTAAGCCATTGTTATCAATACCATATCTCTCTTAAAATTAGAGATGGCAACTTGTGACTCCATTTGATTATTACTTTGGTCTATAAAGTTTTTTATTTTATTTTAAGGTGTGGTAATTTATTATGACTTGTATCAATTTTTTTTGATAATGGATGGGATTTGAATTTCTTTGAACAACATATTCAACTTGTGTTTTTAGAATTGATGGGAGAAAAAGATTTGCATAGCCTTTGTTTGGAATGTGAGTTGTTTTTTAATTTTTTAGTTATTTTAACGTGTGATTAAAATGTCTTATTTGTAATAGACTTTTTGACTTTTGTAAAAGAAAAAATAAAATGATTATAATTTAAATGTAATATTTTATTTTATTAACTTTTTAACTTATTTTATCTTTTTATAATTAAAATAACCAAAAAAAAAAAAAAATTATGCCAAGCATAGCCATAACAATGCATCACCTCGATAAGAAAATGTCTCACGTACTAGTCCAACGTTAATCTAAAAAGATTTGATTATTCTAACGATAGTGTTATATAAATAAAATTTACAGATAAAAAATACGAGAAAATATTTAAGGGTTGTTCGGGCTGTCTTAAATAAGTATATTTTTTATCTTTTTAGATTAAAAAGTTGAGAAAAAAATTATAGATGTTTGGGTTAACTTTTTAACTTTTTATAAAAAAATGTATATTAAAAAATTGTATAAATAAGTGTGCAGGAGAAGATAGGGTAGGAGGGTGTACGGAATGGCAGTGGAGTTGGTTGGTTGAGTAGATGAGAAAATATTGTATCTTTCTCGGGCTTTGATTGGATGGTGTTGTTTGGCCCGTGGGGACCCACCACAGGTCCCTTTTTCTAATCGGAACTGTTTAATGTGTAGAACTCGTCGAGTACTATATGCTTGTAAAAAATTATGTTGATTGGATATCGATAGCTATCTGATCGTGTTAGCTTTTTTTTGTTAACTGTTAACTATAACACCATCTATTTTTATACAAAATTGATTTGATCATATAGTTAGCGATATTCGATAGACGTGATTTTTTACAAGCATATAGTACTAGACGAGTTCTACATATTAAATGGTTCAGATTATCAAAACGAAACCCGTGGTGGGTCCCCACGGGCCCAACTTTACCATCTAATTAATTTAGTGAATATACACATGGAAATTTTTTTTTTTCCTTTCACTGACTAGTTCATCACGTCAGTACCTAAATTGGATCAAAAAGTTGATTTGTATTAATATTTGTATATTAATTTTTTAATATTTTTTTGATAAATAATAATAACTTTTTAACTTTTTTGGTAACTTTTTGACTTTTTCTAAGGTTGCCAAACCAGCCCTATGTGCCATTTTGGAAACATAGCAAAAAGCCACGTTTTTGGACAAAATGTCCAAAAATGCAAGTGCCAAAAACGCCAGAAAATTGGTTTGGCAAGTGCTAAAAACGCAGGTGTAAAATTACAAATTAGGATCTATGAAAAAAAAATAAAAAAAATAAATTTCTTATGTTGGGTAAGGGTATTTTGGTCATTTTAATTTGATTTGACACCACAAAATAAATATTAAACTAAAAAGTAAAAAGTTAACTTTTTACCAACTTTCTAAATCACTTTTCAAAAAGTTAAAAAATTTGATAAAAATTCAAAAATTAACTTTTTACCAATTTATCAAAACACTCCTAAGTATGATACGGTGTTTCCAGCTAATAAAAAAATTGCAAATGGAATTAAGTGGAAAATATTGTCTTGGACTAACCCAACAATGTTATGGTCGTACTGTAAATTGATTATACGCATATACAAAATAACATGGAAAGCACTATTGTGCAAAATATGTACACTATATGCCTCTTATAATTAAAAAAAAAAAAAACCTCAATATTTTAAGTTGTATCTATAAAAAAAAGAAAAAAAATCATAATTAAACACAATAAAAGGCATAACTAAAATAATATCATTACTAAAGAAAAAAATTTAATTATAATTAAAAAATAAAATGACATACTAAAAGTGTATATGACATAATTTTTTTTTTTAAAGATGTGCATATTATAATTAAAAAAAAAAAAATAACCTCAATATTTTGAGTTGTAACTATAAAAAAAAAGAAAAAAAATCATAATTAAACACAATAAAAGGCATAACTAAAATAATATCATTACTAAAAAAAAAAATTTAATTATAATTAAAAAATAAAATGACATACTAAAAGTGTATATGACATAATTTTTTTTTTAAAGATGTGCATATTATAATTTTCACTCACTTATATTATTAACTAGAAGTAAAAAAAAATCAATTATTATGGCTCATAATTACAAAAACATCATTATCATAATATTACATACAATTTTTTTTTTCAAAAACAAAAATAAAAATAAAAATAAAAATTTATATATTTAGCAAATTTTTAACTACAATTAAAATCCCCCACTTGGCCCCCTCTTGATATAGGTTGTTGTGATCCATCCATGGAATGCATGTATATTCCACTTTAGCCTATCTACATCTCTTCTTCAACCTCCAAACTAATCCTTGTATGACGCTCTCTCTTTCTCTCACATGGAAAATCAAATCACTCGCAGAGTCTCTCGCTTGTTTCCTTCACCATTCGGCTCATGCCGGTACGGTACCGTCTCGGAAGTTGCCGGAGCCACCATTATCATCTCCCGAACACCTTCAAATGCCCATCCCATCGAACCAGTCTCTCTCATGACCAAACCCAAAAGCTCTGCAATCCCCAAGAATGCTAAAAACGAGACGACGAAAGTGGTTCCGGAACCAAAAAAATCAAATTCCGGTACGGAAGCAACCATTCCGTCTTTGAATTCATGCAAGACCACGATGGCTAAACAATCCTTGATTGTTAAGAACAGTTCTTCGTCTAATGGAGCGATGTTCAGCAGCGAAGAAGAAGAGGAAGAAGAAGAAATTGATGGTGAAAGTGACAAGTTTTTCAGCTTATCGTCTAATTCGTCTGACTCATCTCGCCGGAAAACAAGCAAATCTCGACTGAACAAGCCTAAAACTCGCCGGAGAAGAGGGAAGAGCAGGAGTCCTGAGATGGGTCGTTCTAAAATCGAAGTATTATCGACAAACCGAGTTGGGTTTTGCAGCGAAACCGACGAAAACAACTCGAAATCTCGCCGGAAAACCGCCATAACTGGCCCGAAAACCGGACCGGAAAGTGAAGTTGAAGACAGGATTGAGTGTTTCTTCGCCGATTCGGGTCGTACTCGCCGGAAAACCGGTGAAAGTAGTCGGCGAAGAAGTGGGGAGCGGCGGTGGCCGGTGGTTGTGGGTGGCGGTGGTGGGAGTAAGGTTGAAGAGAGCTACGCGGTGGTGAAAGATTCAAGCAATCCGTACGGGGACTTCAGGGAATCAATGGTGGAGATGATAGTAGAGAAAAGTATATATGGAGCTGAAGATCTTGAGAAGCTTTTGCAGTGTTTTCTGTCTTTGAATTCATCTTATCATCACAGTGTCATTCTTAATGTTTTCTCTGAGATTTGTGAAGCTTTGGTCACTCACTGATCTTCTGTGTTTCAAATGGGTATGTACTTGGTGTTCATTTATAAAATAATAATAATGTGATGATTTTTTCCTTTTTCTTTTTTAATACTTTTCTTAATTATATTTTGTTTATAAGAATTTAAATAATTTTACTTTAAACGAACCGAACAACTCAAACTCTCATATTTGGTTTCTTAAAAGTTTGTTTGAATTCAATTCATTGAGTAAATACACTAACTTTAATGCATTTTTGAGCTCGTTAAAATTTTCAAACTAAGTTTTGTGGGGACATAATTTTTGAATGACAACACGTGGCTGAAGTGTCACCGAAGTACCAGTCGAGATGTCACGTGTCTTGGTCATGACGCCAAGATAATCTCGGCTAGGCCGAGGTTATCTGCGAGAATACCGGAATTCGAGATAAGCGGATAAGGAACAAGAGTTCTAGAATGGGAGAAGGCTTCAGTTTGGGTAAAGATGAGACTCTTAGAGAGTTTATCCTAATCCTACTGGGAGTCCAAGATTAGCAGTAATCCTAAGCCCATTAGAGTTAGGCTTCTATTGGGATTAGGATTGTGTTGGCTATAAAAGGGAGGCACCCCCATGGGTCTAAGGTATGTTTTTGATATTCTGTTTAGTGAGTTAAGTACTATTGGTTATCTTTGAGAGATATTGAGTACTGACTTGATCGTCGGAGTGCCCCCGGGTGGACGAGCCATCGCCGGAAACTCTTCTTTCTGTTGCAGGTTGTTCGAGCTTAATCTATTCTGTCGGTGTTCTCCAGTTGAGTACTAAGTTGGACTATGTGATCGGAAAATCACTCACACAATTTGGCGCCGTCTGTGGGAACGAAAGGAGAATAGATGGCCAACGACAGACCGGAAGAGAAGATTGGGGACGACACCCCTACTAAGAGTGGGAAACATATTGACCTTGGCGTCGAAGAAGACAACTACAACGAAGAAACTCGTGATAAGAATCACGGAGAAGAGGACGTCGGCCAGGAGGGCGACGTGCCGAAGAAATCAGACTGAAGCGAGTATTATAACGAGGGCGACCTCCAGGTATAGAAAGCAAGATGCTTACGAAGGGATAACGAGATGAAAGGAATGACGAACAAATTGGCGGACCTGCAAACGGTTGTCAATTTCATGATAAAGAACAACGTCATGCAGCCACCATTCTTGTCACAAGATATGCTGATTCTAGCAGCCAAGAAAAATGCCCAGGCAGGGGGGCAGAAGACAACTCCTACGACTCCTCAGCACGATAGGACCAAGGAACATTCTCACCGGCCTTCAAGGGAGGTCGGACGAGGAGAATCAAGAAGGAGAGATTCACAGATGACACATCGCACCAAGGAAGCTGACTCCGAAGAACATCAGCATGTTCAGGGGAAGGACCTATGTTTCGATGCGACCAATGGAGGGAGGTCCAAAAGGACTCGCAATAACACAAGAAGTAGTGCACCAAAGAGGCTGAAATCCGGAGATAGCCGAGCTCCTGGACGAACCAAGGAGGATCTGAGGGATTACCTCCAGAGAAAGCGACAAGATGCCGATGTGACCTCACTTGTCAAGCCGAGATAACACTGGATATGAGAAGACAAGAGCTCAGCCCAAGTAAGCCGATCACGGATTCCAGATCTTGGATCCCAGATCCCAGAAGACAAGATCTTGGCCTAAGATGATTAAGTTCGAGAAGAGAAGAGTTTACCGAGATGATGTTTAACACTTGTTGAAACTTGAGAAAAGTTTACAAGTTGAAGTTAAACCGAGATTATGTTTAACACTTGTTGAAACTTGAGAAAAGTTTACAAGTTGAAGTTAAACCGAGATTACGTTTAACACTTGTTGAAACTTGAGAAAAATTTATAAGTTGAAGTTAAACCGAGATTACGTTTAACACTTGTTGAAACTTGAGAAAAGTTTACAAGTTGAAATTAAACCGGGGTCATGATTAAAGGAAGGAATGATATAGGTTCCATCACCTCAGGATGCCGAGGTAATAGAACCTAGGGGGCAGTTGTGGGGACATAATTTTTGAATGACAACACGTGGCTGAGGTGTCACCGAAGTGCCAGCCGAGGTGCCACGTGTCTTGGTCATGGCGCCGAGGTAATCTCGGCTAGGCCGAGGTTATCTGCGAGAATACCGGAATCCGAGATAAGCGGATAAGGGACAAGAGTCCTAGAATGGGAGAAGACTTCAGTTTGGGTAAAGATGAGACTCTTAAAGAGTTTGTCCTAATCCTACTGGGAGTCCAAGATTAGCAGTAATCCTAAGCCTATTAGAGCTAGGCTTCTATTGGGACTAGGATTGTGTTGGCTATAAAAGGGAGGCACCCCATGGATCTAAGGTATGTTTTTGATATTCTGACTAGTGAGTTAAGCACTATTGGTTATCTTTGAGAGATATTGAGTACTGACCTGATCGTCGGAGTGCCCTCGGGTGGATGAGCCACCGCCAGAAACTCTTCTTTTTGTTGTAAGTCGTTCGGGCTTAATCTATTCTGTCGGTGCTCTCCAGCTAGGTACCTGTTTGACAGTGTGGTCAGAAAATCACCCACACAAGTTTAAATAATTAATTATTCGTTCGGTTTGGATTGACAACTCTAAAACTATATAAAATATATCAAATTACTTGAGCTCAGTTTGACAAAAACTTATTTGAGATCGATTCAAAAGATTAATGAACCACGTTTAAACAAATTTTAAAACTCGTTAAAATTTTAAAATCAAGTTTGAACAATTAATTATTTGACTCGTTCAATTCGTTTATCACCCCTAATTTATGGCCAGTCACTATGTCTTCTCTAATCCCATGTTTCTTATAGGACCATCCATACACAAAGGGTTCATTTGTGGGTTGATTTTTTGGCTTTTTGATTATTTAGCATGAGACTAAAAAGCCTCGTTTGGGATAGATTTTTTAGATTTTTTAATTTTTGTGAGAGAAAAAAATAAAATAATTATGGATTGGATGTGACATTTTATCCTATTTGACTAAAATAGTTTATTTTGTCCTATGTGATTATTTTAGCCCAAACACTCATCCCAAACAGAGCCAAAATTAGGTTGATCAATCATCAATTTTCACACAATCGAATCACTTTTATTTTATAAAAATAAAAGACAAATACAATCCAATAATTTGATTATAAATTTTTAATCAATCGAATTCTTTACATAATTTTTTCCTACACATCCTGCCACTACAACAAAATGCACTTTTCACTACTACAAAAACAGATAAAGATTACATTTTTTTTTGTGTGATGTATGTTATTTAATCACACCTTTTAAGTTTTATTAAAGTGTGATCTTTGAGAGTGTAATTAAAAGAGGTCATTTTTAATCACACTTTTTAAGTGTGCTTAATAACATTTAGATCACACCTTTTAAGTGTGATTAAAAATATTTAGATCGCATCTTTTAAGTGTGATTAATAATATTTAGATCACACCTTTTAAGTGTGATTAATAACATTTACATCACATCTTTTAAGTGTGATTAATGACAATTAAATCACATCTTTTAAGTGTGATTAATAACTAATAAAATCTGTGATAAAAAAAGGGTTCGACATATTTGAAAAATAATCAATATTATTTTTGTATGCACATTTGAAGTATGTAATACACACTATATAATATACTTTCAATCATAACCACATATTGAATAGAATAATATCATATATTTCATAAATGAAAATCAAATGTTCAAAAGTATATACAAAAGAAATAAATAAAAAAAAATTAACTGTGCTTACATATATTAAAAAATGAAAAAACTTAAAAAACTAAGTTCTTTAATTCTTGGACCATATTTTGCATCTCTCCAAGAAATTTCTGACCTGAAAAATGAAAACACAAATTAATCCAAAAATCGCTAATGCATATGAATAAACTAAAAAGTTAATTTAGCAAACCAAAATAGGAACATTAATCATTTCTGCTTGATTTTAATCCTTTTGGAAGCAACTTCCCTATTAACAATTAGATGCCATAGCAGCTTAGCGTCAATGACATTGTAATTAGGAGGTCACTAATGAGCACAGTATTTAAAAATGATAAATCTCAATACAGCTTGTGTACGATCTTTTTGTGAATGTATATTATTGTTAGTGTTGAACCATAATTCTAGGTACCCATAAATAAATAAATAAAAACTCAAGAATTTACTCAATTTTTTCTTTTGGGGGGAGGGGAAGTACATACATTGCAGTTACTATTACCAGCGCCAGCAGGTTTTGGAGAAGCAGAGGCTGCATTTTCTTTTGCACCTTTGGAAGAAGAAGAAGAGAAAATAGCTACCAATTTCATGCATGTCTGTCTACCAAAGAATAAGTGCAAACACTAACAGCTGGCACAAGCGTATGAAAAGTCATAAAGAAAATACATTATTATCTCAAAGTACCTGGCCAAGCATTGTAGCCTCTGCTTCAATTCTTCCAACTCCCCAGCCAGCAACTCTTAAGCTAGCAATCATAGTTGTATGGGAATCAGTTCCAACCACGCTATCAGGGTACAGAATGCCATTTGTGTTGAAAACAACTCGTCCAAGGTATTCAAGATTAACCTGAAAATTACCAGAGTCATTTGCTAAATGCCAAACCTACCAAATAGTATTATAGTGCTAAAAAAATGAGAAAATTTGGACTATGATTTACAAGAGGCTAGAGGTAAATGTGGCTTTACTCCAGAAGCCCCACAAATAGTTAAACATTACAAACCTCATGCATTGAGCCTATTCCTATCTAATGTTTTGGCCTTTTTACGAGTAAACCATTTATACCACCTTAAGATCAAATTCTTGCACCTTGCCATGAGAATTTTCCTTAACAACAATATAACATCTAGATATAGAAATATCCTTGATGCACTAATGATGCCAAAGTCTTACCTGGTGGACAATACTAGAACCAGGAGGAACAATGAGCATATTGTAAAAAGCATTTGAACCCCACTTAAGAAAAACAAACCTCTCCTTGTTTCTCTGAAATTCAAGCCCCATATTTGCC